CACGAAGACCATTAGGTGAGGTTTAAGAACATTTAAGATTTATACTACAAAACTTTACGCTAATAAGATTTCATATTTCTTAAAATCATCAGTTATTTGAATTATGGATCAAGGGAAATACAAATGTCATATTTAATGAACATGCTATTTCTCTAGGATATACTATGATGCCTAATTTAAAATTAAAATCTAGATATCAATTTGATGTTGTAAGTCATCTAGTACAGTTGTGGATAGATCTCACAAATACAAGTGAATCGTATCGAATTTTTAAAACATAACTACCATTGTTAAACAGGGTGTGGAAAACATTACCTTTCAATAAATAAACCAGTAATATCAATAATTTTAAAGTGATTTTCATCCATAGTTATGGTTTGCAAAGTTGAAGATCTTTTTGACCTTTTACCTTCTTTATGTATGCATAAATAAAGACGCAATGAATTTGTGTGGTGAATGTATTAAGAAATCTCCCATCTCTGACATTCTTTTTTAAGGTTGAAATCAAGGATCTAATATTTTGTGAACTTGGATAAATATTGTTAGGTCAACATAAAATTTTGAATCCTATTTATGTCTTGAACAATTTATATAGACATACGTATTGTTTTTTTATGAAATAATTACAACTTTAGAATGGATTGTAATAAACAAATAACATGTAAATATGTGAAAGGACCTGTTAGTATAATGGGCCTGGCGCCCATCAATGTGTTTATAAGTTCTCAGATTCCCTGGTACTGCCAAAGGTTGGGAAATCCCGTTTCCCTTCTTGGAGTGGCCTCATATAACCAGGCATATATAGTCACTGATAGAGAAGTCCTACTCATTACTTTCTTGCAGCGGTGTTAGTTACAGAGTTGAGAAGATGAAAAGTGAGCACTCAAACTGAGCTTGTCTATAAGAAGGATCCACCTAGGAGAGTTGGTAAACCTTTATCACAAACCAATTGTTCACATGTACTCTAGGATTTTGATGGATTGAATGGCATATTAACATATACTCGGTCATTCTGAACCATCCTTTCTGAAACCAACTGTCCCATTTAAACTGGCCTCCTTCAACGTTCACACACTGATGCATATCGGAAAACAGACAGGGTTGGCTACGACTTCAAAAAGCCTCTAGTAAAGTACTATACACTAGCTATCCACCTACCGATTTGAAATGCATGTTTCGTGTGTTTATCAGGGGACTATGTGGCATCTTCCTCTGGTTCTGACGGAGTTGGTGTCACACTGAACTCTAGAGCTGAGGCTGTATTAATCGTTTAGATTCTCATTAAAACGGTCGACGATGTGGTGATAGATTGGAAACCCAATAACAGTTGCTACCTTGAATGGTGATTGGGCTTGCCTCTCCTGATGACTCACTTGAGCTATCTTGGGTGGAACACATGTTTCTGCAGGTCCTAGCATGCCAGGTAGGTTGGTTGGAGAAAGGTAAGATTAAAAGCAACAATTTAAGGTTCGAGGGAGACGTTGTACTGCTGACTGTAAAGGGGTGTGAAGTTAGTAAAGTGTTCCTTTCAGACAACTGGCAACTTCAGCGATCTCGTCTTCTCACAACGGAAGAAAGGGATTAGAAAAGGTCGACCTCAACGTATCACACCCCACCTTACACCATGGATTTCCGTCTCCAGCGATAAAATCTTTTGAAGCGCGAAGCCAACATATCAAAAACTTCTCATGAAAAGCCTATGCGCAATCGGCATCAAGCACTTGTCCCTTGAGCTCTGGGCTCACGCTTCTAAGTTGTTAAAACCACCATCAATTCAACTCCTTTATCAGGACCGTCAAAAGAATATTCTTCCATATTATGAGCAACCGGAAAATGAAAATTACCCTCACAACTCTATCAACACCCGAGATCATCTTGTCCACAATCAAACCCCTTTCTTACCTCTTGGTAATTCATTCATCCCTACAATTAACCCTTCTCGTATCTATTTATCATCACGCGTCACCAATGCCAATGATCTGAGTCCACGAAATGTTATTCCTAGTCTCCCAAAACCACTCTCTAAACCACATGTTGAAGGTTTTAATTTTCTAATCTCACGTCAGGTAGAACGACGGGCTTCTTTAGCTAGGACTCTAGAGTCTCGCACTACCTATGTATGCTGGGTCTAAGAAAAACTCAGCCAGGATCCAAACACAGTCACTCACTTAACCTCACCTTGTCAATATGGAGAACCAGGACGGTTTATTCTTTGATTATCTGTAAACCTCACTTCTCGTGGCCTCGTTGGTATAGGTATAGCATCAATTTTGAAAGTTTAACAGGCTCTTTTAGACTGGCGTCCAATAGACACCCGCTTGTGTGCTATCCGACTAAACGGGACAGTAAAACTTGAAAAGATAGGGACACACGGCGTTGCCTTTTCGTTATCCCTATCTATGCTCCTACTGATTGATCGATTGAGCAAAATCAGTGGATTTCGACGGTGTTTACAGAACTGAAAGATGCGTGGACTCAGCCCGTCTGGCTCCGAAAACGATCAGGTGAGGAGGCTGTCTAGATATAGACTGATAGATAACCTACGCAATAATTATGAGCAGCAGCGCTTAGAGGAAGCAGAAGAGATGGAAAAGGTAGTAGTGATAGGTAACAGTAGACAAGTGTTCAAAACTGTCCGGCTGTTGGTGAAACTGTCGGAAAAGGACAGGACTGTTATTCACTCTCAGTCCAGGAAATCGGATCGATGGGTAGAACACTTTAGGGAATAGTTCAACTGGCCTTCAGTCACACTTCAGTTACCTAATATCTTCAAACAACATGAATGGGAACTGATGTAAGTCATCTAACTCTTAGTGAAATTGAAAAGACTATAAGTAATCTAAAAGGAGAGAGGGCGGAATGGCTTGATGAATTACCCCCCAAGACGTTTAAGGATGGTGGTCTACTTTTAGCAGGTGAATTAACTAAGATCGCATCTGACTAGTCTCGATTGCTGATTATTCCAGTTTATAAGAAAAGACAAAATTCTTTTGTGAGGATCACAGAGGAATCACTTTAACTAAAATAGTGTATGAAATATTAGCCTCAGTAATACTTTGAAGTCTGACAACAGCTCGTGAAAAGCAAATCCGAGACAACCAGAATGGTTTAAATTCAATAATGATGGATTTATCTTGAGAGCTTACAAGATCGCTTAACAAAGCGCGAAAATCTTGGATTAACAATATTTATCAAGTAGAATGAATCGTTACCTGGCGTTATAATTTGGCATTTCCTGGAGTGACCAGTGGAGTTCAACCAGATCTGTTGTGAGATATCAGCTCACTGAAGACAATGGTGTACAGTGGTGCAGTTTCGTGGATTAGTTGAAGTTTGACATTAAAACCGTTGAATGCCAGCTCAGTGGTTAGGTGCTTGCGCGCGAAACAAGTAGGTCCTGGGTTTGAAACTCACAGGAGGCGGGGTCGTGTATGCGCATTGGTGAGGAGTCTTACAATAAGACGAAACGGCCATGCAGTGTTCTAACTTCAATTAATTCATGATTTCAACTATTTAAATTACTAGAATCTCCATAAAACCCCTTCTGATAATTTATATACGTCAAAATAATGAAAACGGAAAACATAACAAGAAAGTATTGGGTTATTTTATTTCAATTGTTCATTATACTGACTTCCATAACAGGGAATTAAATAATAAACATCAAGTAGCAACACAGTATTTGAAATAAGTATTATGTGAGAAGTAAACAAAAACCGATACGCACACACATATAGATAGAGAGAAAAACAATAGTCAGAGGAATATAGATCAAGGTGCAATAACTAATTAATATTCTTTTTTAGTGCTTAAGCAGGTTTGTATTAATTTGCCAAGTTAAGACAAGATAAACTGATAATTTAACATTAATATTATTCAACAAACGTAATAATCATGACAGAAGTAAAGAGAAATGAAGTTTTGATTTGAATAATGATCTACACACATTTCTACAATGATCCGATATTAAGTTAGAAAGTGAATAAATTGAAGAAAAAAAAATGATTGAAACTAGAAGATAATCATTAAAATCTAAATAAAACACCATGACATACTTGTATATGTAACAACAAAAATTACCATGTTAAATTACAATATGAAATAAGGGAATGATAACATAGAGATTCATAAAGAAGAGAAGATAAATGAAAAGAAAATGTATAATAGACAACTTTAAAGAATTTCATAACATGTCAATAATAATAAGATAAACTAATCAATATGGTGTATCCTTTTTCGGTTCATTATCATTTCATATCAACTAACAATTAAAAACTTAGGGACAACTATACAATTACACCTAATAAATTTTTAAAAAAAGATTCAAAATAAGAGAATAGAAATTGAATAAAGAAAGATATAGATAAAAGAAAATAGGGAAATGAAAAGAAAAAAAAAAGAGAAATACATCGAATCATTGATTTACATAATTATCATAGAATAATACACTGTAAGGCAAAAAAAAACAAACAAAATATTCTTTTGTTATTTAATATTAATATCATTTTCATTATATATTTTGTTGATAAATAAAACATTATTGTATTTATTCTTTGGATTTTAATTGATCACGCCAATCTTCTTTCTACATATTCATATAAAGTTAATTTATTATAAACAGAAAAGAGCAAGCATTAATGTAAGAAACAAAGAAACAAACAACAACAAAAAAACACCACCACCACCAACAACAACAACAACAAAAAAAAAGAAAAGAATCATTGTAAATAGGGACTAAATTATAGTCTATATGATTATAATGAATACAATAAAAGATAAGTATCTGTTAACAGATAGTAATAATAGAATTTCTTTGATTAAACTTACTGTATTATTTCTTGTTTATTCACTTGATTAATGAATTTCAATGTTTATATATTAATTCATTTTATTGTTTTGTTCTTTATTGTTTAATGATAATAATAAAAAAGTTTATTTATGAACGATATACTGACTGTTAATTGATTATTGATGTTTTGAGTAAAAGATAAAGTAAACTATTATTTAGGTGTATTCTTGTAATTTATTGATTAATGTATGTTATATAAAGGATAGATTTAAGATGAAGATCCAAAGAAATATATGATTAGATACGATGAAACAAGCGGGGGAAAAAAAAGAGAAAACACAAAAAAAAATACATACAATCATTTAAATTAAAAAAACAAAACAAAACAAACTATTTAATGAACTTAAAATCAAATCTAGAAAAGAAAGAAAAAACTAAATTCAAACTAATATCATGCAAATTATATTAATCAACATAATTCGATGTAAAACTTTTCTACAGTTTCTATGGTCTACTTTTTGTTCATGAATATGCTTAAGTCATAATTCTAATTCACTTGGTATTGTTTGGCTTGTATCTTTCCATTGATGTTTAGGACTGTAATTGATCAGTCTGTTATTGACATATGTGCATACTGTGTGCATGTCTCGATATTACTTTAATTCACAAGCTATTTGTAAGCAATGATGGATAGTAGCTAGCAGTGGAATCCAGTTTGACGCGCGTTTCGTCCTATTTGGGGCTCGTCAGATGGATGTACCTGCATCTCAGAGTTGATGTTCACTTTGGGACTCGAACCCAGTACCATTCGCTTCAAACGCCATCGTGTTATCCACTTAGCTACTGGATCCTGATAGCCATTTGCTTGTGCAATGAAGTGAACATTAACTCTCTGAGATGCAGGTACATCCAGCTGACGAGTCCCAAATAGAACGAAACTCGCATCCTGAATTCCACTGCTAGCCACTATCCATCATTGCTTACAAATCATAATTCTAGTTTAAATTAATAATCAAGTTGTATAAATATTTTGGATTCATTATTCAGTCTAGGTAGATACTTTGAATATAGAGGATATGAATGGTAATATGAATGATATTGAATCTATGTTACTCAATATTATTATATACATTAGTAACCGGCTATTTTAATTAATATTAGGATAAATAAGTGAATATTGCATATTTTATTATACAAATCGCCTTCATTTTACTAACAGTATTGATGACTATTAATGTAAAGAATGTAAGAAATCCTTAGTTTAATTTATCTATGCATGGTTAGTTCAAGTTTTAAATGGAATTATCAATTCCAAACTATTTAGTTACTTAATACAAGTCACTGATAAATTTTAGAAAAGGATTAAATAACTGTATTTGGTTTTGTTTCACGTATCATGGCTATTACTGCTATTTTTCACACTTAAACAGTTCTTATTGCTTGGTGTTTTGTCCTAACTAAAGAGCTCATTTGATGCATTGGTAAAAATGTGAGATCCAAAAGTCGTCAAGTTATTACTGAGTAATATTGAGAGATTAATGAAATGTATTTACCTACATAACCAATCTAGTCCATTTGTAATTAGTAAAAACATAAGTCAACCTGTATTTTAAAACTACTTCAAAATGGTAAGCTTTAGTGAAATCTCATGCTCACTCCGTGTTAAATTCTAAAATCTAATTAAATATAACTGAATAAAATACAAACTAATAGGAGCAGAATGAAGTATCAGTTGAGAAGTAAGTTATTTTATGTTAAATATAATTATGAGTAGATTGTATGAATCGAGTTGATTTAAAATAGTCAATGTTTTAATAGTAGTCAGAAGTGATCCCATACGTTGTTTATTCTGAGAGATTATATAACGTTCTTAGTTGTTATATTAAATCAGACTCATTATTGGAAAATCCAGCAAATTCAGTTACACACTCCCCTAAAGTAAGTCATATCTGAGCCTTATTAAAAGAAGTATTTCTTAACTGGAAAAGCTCCTATTTTTTAGTGTATCATTAAATACTCATATAAGAGAACTGATGAACACCACCGACAAATAAAAAAGTATTTCTCATTAAGTATTGCAGTTATAATAAAGTATATTATGTCTCCGAATGATTTTAGACAACTCTTAATGGAAGCAGAAATGACGTATTAATCTGTTCTGATAACATATATTTCTAACAAATAACATCTAGATATGACTAATCTTTCTTTCTTTGTTCGTTGGAGGTACTTAATAGAAGGCTTCAGGCATAAATTTATACTGACTTACACTAGTCAATATGGCCTTTCCATACTCTTATTAAACGTAATGCTTTTTTATGATTTAAACAGGTATTGAAATTTAATTTCATAGTTTTACTGATGTTAGGAACAAATGTCCACTTAGCCATCGAAATTCTAAAAAAAATCAGATTAATTCAGTCGATGATACGCTGGTAAAATTAGAAGTATTTCAAAAACGGTAATTACTATCATTAGAGGATTCTCTATATTATTCAAAGGGAAATTTAATAACTCAAAATTAGTCACTGGAGACAGATAAGTAAATAATCATAGTATGATCTCAGCATGATTAAATTTAGAGAACAGGGTCTAAAAACGCAACCTGTATTGACTTACCAAGTGTTCACTCTTTCGTTGAAAATATATGTTCTAACTAATGTACTTTGTAATATTATGACAATTTTGCTAGAAATCTAGTTAAATGCCTTGTCGGATATTTTGTTAAAGTACTTGGATTTCAGAGATTATGATTATCTGATAAGGTTCGAGGTTAATGATACAGTTTAACAGTCAAAACTCGTAGGAGGGATGAAACATGATGTTTACTTAGAAGTTGGAAAAGTGATATTCATAAGTGGTATGAAATGTGATATATATATAAGCAACTAACATAATGTAAGCATTCACTCTCTATACATGAGGGGGGTGATTTATTTTAATATCCTTAAGTAAGATTTTAATTAAAGATTATTAGTTGTTTTGACTTAGAAACAAATAAAACTCATAATTTCTTACGTCTAAGTTATAGCTGACTTATTGGTATACGTTAATCATCTTAATAATATTTTATAGAACTTACCACGACTTCATCCTTTTCCTCCAAAGCGTACTTACTATGACCAGTTGACTTAAGTTGACTACGGAAAGAAGAAAGTGAATGTCCACCTTCCTTCTTCTCAAATCGTGCCATATGACTTTCAGTTTTGGATACCTTCTTTAAAACTGGTTTAACGCTATACAAATTTAATGAAAGTAACATATATTAATATTTATTATTTTGCAGAATGAATTCTTCATTGTACAATCTATCTAAATTCCTTTCATCTGACTATCGAATAAACTTAATCAAGAAATCTATTCTAATGTATTAATAAACCCTAAAATTACTACAAAATATAATGTACAATAGAATCTACTCAATAAATGCTACAATGTAAGTGTTCTCTCATAAACAATTTGAGTGAAAGTATACAAGGTTGTTGTTTTAAAAAAAATTTAAATAGCTATTTTGAATGATCATTGTTACCGGGGTAATTTTTCCATTTTATCATTATTAGATCCAGAAGAATAAAAATGACAGATGAATAAGTTTAATTAAAAGCAGCCAACTTTTGATGGAGTTTTGTTCTCTGAGCTGGATGGTTTGATCGCGGAACTTTCATCGTTCTTCTAAACGACATCATCAGCACAAACTGCAGATAGAAGTGAAGCGTTTGAATTTCTCCACATGTGGTTCACAGCTTGTCCTGTAGAGCTCGATGTTGATTGGTTCTTGCTGACGTTAATTTTGTCATTGTTTACTTCATTGTATTGGTTGTATCTGAAGTTTGTGCTGATGATGTCGTCCAGAAGAACGATGAACGCTCCATGACCAACTCATCCAGCTCAGAGAACAAAATTATCCACCTGAGCTACAAATCTTCTCCATTATCTCAAAAGCAGCTAACATTTTATTCAAAGACAAATAAACGATTGATTCATATTAGTCACTTATTCATTAGAATATTATTGTAACTTATGAATATAAATATTGAAAAACGTTCTCTGTAAATTATTCAACCATAAAGTTTATAGTGATTAGTTTTGAATTGGTAGATAATGAAAATCTTAATACTACACTATAAAATACTGTAGGAAGTCATAAATTTCTCTTCAATAATAAAAAGATTAATTTTCAATTGTTGTACCATATTGGCGATTCATGATAATTGTTACTATACTGTATAAATTAAAGGTCTTGTAGATAATATTATGATCCTTAATCATCACTTTAATAACACGACCTTGACGCGGTGGTCGGGCATACCTATCGTGACGAACCAATCGATCTACACCGGCTTGAACATTCGTTTCTCAAGGTCCTACCATGCCAAAGAGGTCAGTTTAAGTGCGGTGAGATTACAAGCAGCAAACCTAAGGTCCGAGGACGAAGTCGTACTGCTCAATGTACAGAGGTGTGACGGCAGTAAGACGTTTCCCTCAGACAACCAGCATGAAGGAAGGGTGGGGTTAGAAAAAGTCGGCCCCAAAAATGCGCTTCTCGTACTATCCTAGGGATTTCCGTCCCAACAATTACAGAGCTAACACGAAAATTACTCACGAAAAGGTCGTGTGTAACCGGCTTCAAGCAGTTGTCACCTGCGCACCGTGGTCACACTGTCAGGTCAATAAGAATAGCTTTGACTCAATTTCCTATCCAGGTACCTCTAGAAGAACCCTTCCATGATGTGGGCAACCGGGCAAGTGATGATCACCCTTATACTTCTACCAGCGCTCAAGAACACTGACTGATTAAATTTTGTATGTAATTAGTTACTGTTTTACAGAGAGAACATATTAGAAATATGAATCATCCTGTTAGTAGTACGTTCATATTTGATTTTATGTTGTATAGTCGTGATATTTAGAAGCATTTGAACTATCGTACGAGCTAGGAATATCAGAAATAACGCAACTTAAGTAAACAGAACTCGGTGAGCACAAACAAACGTTTTATATTTCGAATTTGAATTCATGTAGTCATCAAGTGCAAAGGAATAATTAGTTCATACAAACACCACATTAGTGCATAGAACATCCGTGGAATTGATAGTAATGAACCCATTTTTAATAGTATGGGGAAATTATACCTTTGATAATTTTAGTACTTCGTTTTTCTTTGAGTATGACGTTTCGCTGACCAAGTATTTATTTTCAAGCGACTTTGGTTTATACATAAGCGGAAAGTGCTAACCACCCTCGCAGCTCTAACAGCACTGAAGAACATTGTATTTGTAATCAATTTCCCTCTTCAATTCCTAATATTCTTCCTACCTCAACTGATACTCTAATAGCAATAGCAAATAATTTACAAACTTAGATTTTCCCAATTATTTCAATCTGGTCGTATTAATAACACCTAAAATAAGTCGTGAAAGTTGAAACTACATTGTTTAACTTATTGAATTTCCAGACGTGTAGAGATTTTGACACATGTTTCATTATTAAACTGATCATCATCAGTAACAAAATTACAACTATCTTAGTACAGTACTACATTTACGAGATTTCATCACAAAGGTTTCAATTTTATTGCTTAACTTAGCCATAAACCAGATGATTGACATATAAATTAATGAAAGTCATGTCTACTCTTTTATAAAACTGATATTAATTCATGTGCCCATAAAACCTGATAATAAACAAGATAGTTACTGGATGATTCTAGTTCACATTTCAATAAATCAATAATCAGGTAAACAATTATTTAATTAAAATAAAGCATAATAAACTTACAATTTGCCTTTTACATCATTAACCTTGATTGTTAATTCATTGATCTGATTATAAATGAACAAATAAAAAGATAAATTATTGATAGAAAAGCTTTAAATAATAAATGAAGAGCCTTATTTTGATTGGAATTCAACTGAACAAAAACAACCAACATTACAATTCGAAAATAAAGGAAATGATTTCAATGTTGTCATTACAACCACTTTCGGGCTTTTTATCTTTTATTTAAAAACTAGCTAAATTAGTACATATCTACTTACAAGTGTGATATATATATTTCAATAGTTCAGATCATGAGTCGATTCAAGCTAGACCAAAATTGAGGTTAAGCATTTGTTGGTGAAACTGCAGGTTTTAATTTCAAGTCCTGTGTGTGGGATGGTGGGTGCACACTGTCGAGGAGTTACTTCTATCAAGAACTAATAACTTACAAAATATATGATCATTAAAAACTAGACATTCATTAGTATCTAATATAAATTTGAAAACTACACCCCTACTATCTTTCGTATTGAAATGTAGTATTCAAATCACTTGTAACAGATCAAAGAGTTTTAAACTTTCAATGTAAACTATTAGCTTCTTCATACGGAACTCAACTTTGAATAAGTGAGATATTTATCATTTCGTTAAAAGTATTGAGATATGGGTTGTTTCCATTTATTTACATTTTTATTAGTAGATAACATAGGAAACTTTTAAGAATTTCATGCTAAAAATATCAAATAAACTGCTGAGGAGTTATATACCAGTGTGATGAACAAGAACACAAGTGAAGACAATCGAATATATTTGAATACAATATTATAGAACATCTTACTAAAATCTGAGAACCATACAGTAAGTACTTCATTTGCAAAATGTCTCAAACTTGACTGTTCCTCTTGCAAATATTAGTCAATCGTCTCAAACTTTGTTGTTCTTTAGTTTCCATATTGTTTTATGTTCTCGTTCTCTTTTCTTTGATCTTCTTAACCTTCTGCCTCCAGGCATTTCACTTTTGATTGATGATACATACTACTTCTATCTGTCAACATCAACATCACACACCATACTAGGATGAAATTACTATTCAATATTCCTTCTAGTTTTCAATTATTATTTCATCATCAATCGTTAAAGTATGACATATTACAGAAATATATTGGGATAATTTAACTAAAAATAAAAATCACCTCAAAATCTTGACGTCTTAACTTTTCTTCCCAATCGTATTTATCACCTTCGAGTTGTCGAACACGTTCGTACAACTGTTTCACTTTAGCATTTAAATCGTCTGTTAAAGATAGAGATTGAATTTAAAAGTTATACAAATGTTATATAATGCATAATAATAATTATTATTATGGTATATGGTTGTCATAATATACAAAGATTACATATATTCTTTTCTTTTTGTTTAAATCATAAGTATATATACTGATAAAATCTAAGTACCTAAAAATAACATTCAGATTTTCAACGAATATTAGATACATTTAACTGACAAGTCACTAACTGACGCTTGCAAGTGGAAAGTACATATAGAATGAAACGATCATTGTAAATTGTTTTACGATAACATGTAAACAGATATGGAATCGGTGTTATGCAATGAATAATAAGCAGATAACAGTTTGCAATACAAAATATCTAGAATAATTGATTGATTGAAGTTAGTTGACTATTCAACCTGCTAAGAAAGTCGATTAGCGCTAAGGATAACTTCTTATAACCGTGGCTGCAACCACATGACCAGTCAGTGCAGACATTTCGACCATACACTTAACCGGTAAATAGTTTTTTAACTGGTCGTAAAGTAGCTAGAAAAATTCTATGTTTACCATGTACAAAAATAGATAACATTTGTTGATCTACTTACTTTCACCAAGACCATCAAGTTTCAGTGGCTCTACTTTTCCACGTAAAAAGTTCTCACGTTCTTCCTGTCGACGTTTCATCTCAGCTTTCATTTCATCAGCAGCTTTTTGCATAATCAGTTGCTGAAATAGATGATTTTATTAAAAATATTATTATGCTTGACCAGTTGATTATAAAATGTTCACAGTTTTTTAAAATGTTTTTTCAGTAACCTCCTTTACTATGTGTAATGTCGTGACCAAGTAACAGATTAGTTATTAACTATCGTATTTGCAATACGTAATAACTTAAGTTGGCTTTAAGACTAGAGTCCTGATGCGGTCCACCATTTTTATTTTGCTACCGTCGATGTATATGAAATGTGTAACTTAATTTCTACTCTAAAGAACGATTATACGAATAAGCTTTCAGTACACCTAACTTTAGTAAATGTGTTAATTCAAATAATTTCGATGAGACTATACTCTATGGACGAACCAATCAGATTTAGTATAACAGGTCTTGGATTTGGAAGCAAAATTCATTCATTCATTCATTTATCTAAATAGCGTTTTAGCATATCAGCCACTGTCATTTCGTGATGAAAAATCCTAAATCAACTTCCCAGTCATCAACTGTAAATCATAATCTTTATTCTTATTCACACAAGCTTATAACCCTTATTTAGCTCTGGTAACTTGGTGGACATTCTCAAGGTCACTTTAGAGTCAATCAAAGGTCGTCCATAAATTAAAGTTTCACTCATGAATTAAAAAAATTTTTTAAATGATTGCATTCTACTCTAGTTAAGTTAGAAACTTTCCCGATTCGACATTGTATTTTGTAAATTACTTTATGCCTATTATTAAAAGCAGTACTGATATTTATATTTTGTCCATACTAACATTCATCAATTCATAGTAATATATTTTAATAGATGGAATAGTTTAATGTTGACTATCCTTAGAAATTTCCATTTTGTAATTTTATATAAACTAATCAAAGAAGATTAATATCAACAACAACAAAACAGTTTATAGCTGATTAGAGTAAATTTATCCCATTATCATGTGAAATCAGTTGATATGCAGATAGATTCGCCCATTTTCTATTCGACTTAAGGAAATTCAAAACAATTGTTACTACAAATCTATTCTTTTTATGATCCTTCTATGTTAGATATAGTTAAATTATGAATATGTGATATGAGGATAATCTTAAATTGTTCATTGATTAGAAAAACTAAGATAAAAATGGAATGGTTAAAAGAATTAACTTAAATGATTGATGTTTTTTGTTGAATCAATGGAGAAAAACGACAGTTAACTGTTGTATGAACATCTTGAATAATTTCGAGATGTTGTAGTGTCGGTTATTATGTTAAGCTCATATACCTTATTCTAGCTTCCGGACAGGCCAATCTATTCATTCTAATTGAGTCACCTTTTGACCATGTCAATTATCCGCTTATCAATCTTGACTGTTTTAATATGAGCGCATATGTGTGTTTACATTTCTTGCCCATTCATCATATGTCTGTAACTTATTTTTGTGTGACTATAAATATTGTTTAACACTCGACTAAATGGAGTCGGCTTACTCGCCATCTCCACTGCGCGTCGTTTCGCTTCGCTCTATTCCATTCGCTTCATATACAAAATATATGTATTCAAAAGTCTGTTCTCGTTATTTGACTTATTTAATTCCGTTATTGACTAACGTGATTTAAGTCGATGATTATATACGAGGATAGGCGACATATACATTTGGACAGCAATCATTCAATAACAATCATTCATACGATTAAATTGGAGTCAGATCTCGGGCCACTAAAGCGGAGAGCCCGTCAACAGACATCGTCCGATCTAAATGACGACAAAATAAAGTGACCCACTAAAATGTAGAACACTATATTTCTAGGTGTTTAGTAATATTTTGCAAAACAAAAGATAAAATGGAGGGAGTAAATATACATCGTACTGAACTACATGGATGGTATAAACGATTGTTTTACAATTAAAAGTCATTAAGTATTTGCATGTTATAATAAAAATTTGTGAAACACTACTGAAACTAATAAAGGTAAGTGGATTCTCCTACTAGTTAAATAATAATCAAAGTAAACCAATACCTTTAAATTTTATGTTCTGTGTGGGTTATTAAATTATTTATCATGAAAAGTGGGTTCTTTTTAGCGTCGGAAGTAAATGGTAAATATTCAGTATGGTATTATGAGGGTTTGCTAGTAACTATAAAGTTTATGCAAATACTGATAAATATTATAAGATACAAGGCTAATGTATCTAAAACAGTAATGTGAAAGAGTGTAGAACAGTCCTATAAATATAATATAATTAAATGGGATTTCTTAAAAATGTAAGACATTTTCTCTACAAAAGACTATTCTGCCGAAGATAAGTTCTTGATAACATAAAGTATAATGTTAAACACGACAATAGGTACTACAATAAGCGCTAGACTTGAATGTTGAGCCTACAGGAGCGCTGACCTCCACAGATCTATTGACCGACTGAGCCATCTTAATCCAAGGTTCGTCAAACAATCACGACGCCTCACGTTCCCCCATCATTGACAGAGACAGCCACACCCAACATCGTCTCGCTTAACCACCTCACTGGACCTCTCCTGTCCTACCTAGACCAATGCATACTTCCTGGCCCCGCAATGTCATTTGCATAACTGCCTCCCTGCCTGGCAGCGACAACAAATTTAAACCACGTAAGTAGGCAGGAAGTATGTATACTGATTACAAGAATTTGAACAGTGATTCCATAATACATTTACATAGCCTTCAATAGTCCATTTTCATCTTTCGATGTTTTCTGCAATACGAACTGAAATTTAAGTGTTCTACCAACTTTGTACTCTTAATGGACTGAAATTCTCCATTCTATTCGTCAACTGTTGCAACTTAAACTCCACTTTCCGCAATATTTTAGTTACAAACATCCTTGTGAGTGGCGTTCACTGCAATAGTACCGTATGATATCCTCAGAAATCATTATTTGTGGTATTCTAAACTACTAAGGGTTCGCATCAACTAATTATCTAGATGAGGCTTGAGAAATTATTAAATAGATTCAGTACTTCATATATAAATACATTTGAAGCGGTTGTTGATGGATGCGATCAATGAGTATCATAAATCAGATAAATATTATATTGATGCACATAGTTAACCACATTCATAAAAACTAGGCCAATCTATCGGTCACATTAAAAAATTATAGCTCACTTGCATAAAAAAGTCGGAGTTATTCGAAAGATTGGTATAATTAACTCACTTTCAACAGTCGTTTTTTCTCTTTCGACAAACCACCTAAACCTTTACGCTTCTGACCAGGTTTACGTTGTTTCTTCGAGGCTTCTTCAGCTTCTTTACGTTTCTTCTCCTTTTTTATGTTGTTATGAACAGTAGTCAAACAAAGTAAAAATTGAAAACAAAATGTAATTAAACACAGCTTATGCTTTCTACTACGGATAAGTGTTGAAAAGACTTCAAACGAGCGCTTTTTTTTAATTTTTCATTCCATTCAAATTGGAAGCACCTGTTTGTCATCAATCAGAAAAAGAAATATTCTATTCTGCTGTTTGTGTTAGGCGTAAACATGCAAGCATGTTGAATTAACTTAATTATCATTTCTTTAGCATAAAAGCATATGTATTCAGTAGGTAGATTAGCAAAAACAAAGCATCAAACTCAGAAGTTAGCACGTTAGCTTAAAACAAAATATATATCAAACCTAACCTAAAAGAATAAAGCAACAGAATTATTACTATTATCTATCTCTTGGTAACTTGATGAAGATTTCGAAATAGTATTATGCATTATTTTAATGAAGTGCAAAGGTTTTACATGCTAAATGACTTAAATGTTTTAGTATAAGGATAAAGGTTGGTAAGTTAATCCATTGAACTATTTTGCTCATTTCATCATGAACAATTCCATGAAAAGTTAAAAGGTAGTGTGACTCCATACTTATAAACTTGAAATATGACTTAATTTTATTGTTTCGTTACAGTTTTATTGCGGTCATAGTAAATTAGATTTGTTAAAAATCAGTGACCAGTGGAATTCAACCGGGTCAGTTGTGAGATAGTAACTCACTGATGACAATGGTGGATATGTCGCTCAATTTCGTGGATTAAATGAAGCTAGACATTAACACCGTTGGATGCCAGCTCAGTGGTCTAGTTGGTTAAGTGCCTGGCGCGAGACTGATAGGTCCCGGGTTCGAACACAACGAAGCGAAGCCGTGGCTGTGCACTGCTGAGGAGTCCCACAATAAAACGAAACGGTCGTCCAGTGCTTCCAGGCTTTCCATGGTGTTCTAGCCTCAGTTGACTCATGATCTTAGCTGTTGAAATTTATAACTGTTTACCAAATGATGTGTTAAATGAATTAAACCTTAATCATTTTTTTTAGTAATGTTTTCTACTGAATTTTTAATTCTCAAAAGTTATATTGCTGATAAGCAGACAAGAGAATTGTAGAGATGGTTACTAAGTTTTTTCTACTTTTCACATAAATAATTCAAGTTATTGGATGAATAAAGTTGATCATTTTGGATTAATTCAAAATGGAATTAAAACTGATATTGTTTATTTTGTCAATGCGGCGAGACTCTAATTTATGGACGAGCCAATCAGAAGCGTTTGAGGGATTTCAAGATCACAGAGCCAATTTCAGTGCTTAATGCTAACGTACGATCGGTTCACGGGAGTTTTTATACAAAACGTGATAATTGAGCGGCTATAACAAATAAAACGGCGAGACTATAATTTGTGGACGAATCAATCAGTATTAGATAATAGATCTCGGATTTTGGCGCGAAATTCACTCACCCGTTTGGTTAAAAAGAGTTTTGGCATTATAGCTGATGTCAGTTCGTGATGTAAACCCCATATATAATTCCTAACTAAGGCAAATTACGACAATTATCGCGAACTGGATAATAAAAGCACCAGTAACACTGGCTACAGCCAGGTACTACAACATATGCGGATGTTTGGAGAGCGCACAGACTCCTACATAGACTTGGTTATGTGCATCGTGTCGTTATCCACAAGTAGCATTTTGTGCACTCAACAACCGGAGTGCACATAAACAATATTGAAGCTATGTGGTTGAGGCTGAAAGAGATTTTGAGACTTTATCATGGCTCCAGAGGCCGACTATTGTGTAGCCGTACGGATGATTTCCTCTACTGCATGCATTACGATTGTAGATCCTCTGAACCTCTTTCTAACATTGTCAAGTTTTTGAACCACGTATAATAATTGTATCCACTTTTTTTCCTTGGTTTTATATAATATATTTTTACTCTATACTGAATGTTTGCTGATTGGCTAATATTTTTCAAGGTCGTCCATAAATTAGAGTCTCACCGTCAGTGCTTGATAGTTAAAGTATTCTTTCACAGGGAATATTCTCAAATGATAATATCGAATTTTGTTTGAAAATAATCACAAACCATGAAAATAACTCACCATTAAGTGTTAAACAATGAATTGTCCAAAATAATACAGTTAGAAAATATATTAAACAAGACTCATAAAATAGTACATAACAAAAGAAAAGGACTTCATGATCATTTATCTAGTGTACATTTTTTTCCATTTGTTAACACTCTAATTCTAGAAATAGGGTGAATTCATCAATCACTATTTACACATATATACAAATATTATGAATACAGATTTCTGTTCATTTGGACTAAACTACACAGACAATTCATTTCTTCATGATTTAATGATAGTCAATATGTAAACACTTCAATAATGGTATTAAACTATAAAACTATAGAAAAATATGCCCATATATATGTTAAGTAGTTATCTTGTGTTTAATCTGAATAAGACGTTATGAGGTAGAGGCAAAAAAAAAAGAGAAATTAGCATAGAACCCAGGTATTTAGTAATGTGTTACAATTTTGTTGTTGTTGTTGATTCAACAAGATTTATCTTTCATGCGTTCGTTTTCTTTTTTCGTTTTTCTTGCAATAAAAACAAGAAACAGTTTAATGAGAAAAAGAACTAAAAGAAAAGAATGAACTCATGTGATCAAAAACGAGAGTGAATCACATACAATAAAGCAAATTTTTGTTTAAAAAAATATCAAATTTAGAAGAAATGAAAAACAATAAATAAAGCATCGATTATTTATTAGCGCTAGTTTAAAATGAAATACATTCTATTTTATTAATTCAGAAATCTATCATTTGTGTTGCCATGACTACATAAAGCTATTTAGTGCACAAAAAATAGCTATTTGAATTCAATCACATTAAATAAATAGCAAGATTTTTTTTTAAAAAAAAGAAGAGAAGTGAATAATGGTTAACAAAATCTTGGTTAAATGATGATTTGCAAAATTAAAAAAATCTAATCAACTGAGATTTGAATGTTTCTCACTTTTATACTTCTTTTTTTCATTATAGTACAATGTAACTCAAAGAGATTATTTTTCATTGAAATAATCATTGATAGGTACTTTCAAAATATTCAGTCAATGATAAGACGATATCATCACTTTGTTATGAAATGATCTGAGTGATTTTTCTTTCGGAGGGGGTGGGGATAAACTAATGTACTTGATGCATTGAAGTACTAAAATGTACTTGATAAATATCTTTGAGATACATTGTAACTTCAATCTATTCATTATTATTATTATTATTATTATTATCATTCAAATTAAACATGCCAAGCAAAACATTATCAGCTCAATTTATTCGTGCATTTTAAATTTATTTATTTATTTATTTAATTTGTTAATATTTGTTAGACAAACTATCGAAATATTTAATTAAATTAAAGTCTTGACAACAAGTTAGAAAACCCCTTTAGAAAGATTTTTATTAAATAATAATTAACTTTACTTAAAATAAATATGATTTAATTTGTAAAATATTAATAAATAGATAAATAGATGAATTAGTAAGTGAGTGAGTCTGTGAATAAGTCAGTGAGTGAATGAGTGAGTGAGTGAGTGAGTGAGTGAGTAACGAAGTGAGTGAGTAATTAGATAGTGAAGTGAATAAATAAAGAATCATTTCGGGATTAGTGAATGAATAAATGGTTACTATTAGAAATATGTGACTAGTAAGAAAAATAGTTCATTTCATTTATTATTTTTATTGATGTTTGTTTTTATGTTAAAAATATTTCTAACCTCTAGTTTACGCTGTCTTTCTTGAGCTACCTAAATTTATAAATAATAGAATAGAATAAATGAGATATATGCAAAAAATACACAACTAAAAACAGTCAAAACAACAACAACAACACATCAATAAAAAGAGACAATCAATGAACATCATAATATACAGACAGATACATAATTCATTAAATTGTATATTCACTACTATTATTTGTTTGTTGAGATATTAGTTTCATCACCTTTTTCATTATAATATCCATGCTGTAATGAGATATTTGAATGTAGTATATTCAATTGAACTATCAACATGCAGTGAATATTATTATATACGATTACTATCATTATTATTACATGCATTTAAAATAAAATCCTATTAATCATTGTTTATTAATTGTGATAGAATATGTAGACTAGCTAACAAATATCTTTACATTTATGTGTACTTTTTTTATAATAATATCTAAGTGGAATAGCATTCATAGATCCTGCTGGACATGAAGTCAAGCAAGCTTTATATATATATATATATATATATATATATATATATATATATATATATATATATATATATATATATATATATATATATATATATATATAAGAAATCTACATTTAGATAAACTCACTATGACATGCTTATGAGATATTAACTTATTTAAAACATTCATATGGTCAATATTCTATTAAAGATATTCACATATATTTATTAAATTTACGAAAAGTTCTCCTCAGATAAATGTTTTAATATTCATTAATGTTTCTTCATTTATCATTGTTGTTATGTATATGTTTGTAATGTATTCAATTAAAATTGATAATTTATATAATAATATTCTATGAAGAAATTTTTATTAAAACATTATATCATAAAGTAATCATTGGTTTTCAATTAAATAGTAAACATAATAAAAATTATCTTATTTCATACATACCTCTTCCTCTCTGCGTCGACGTTCTTCTTCCTACCAAAATAGACGATGTAAGAAATGAAAGAAAGTGTATTAATTTTCTCTTCTGGTTGCCATATCATTAGAATATATATACATATATGTATATATATTGGATAAGTCAATTTACGTTTTAAACAGCCATTAAAACTAAGTTGTTTTGATTTACTAAAAGATTCAAATATTATTGTTTTCACTCTTTACAATACTACTAAACATTGCTAATGAAGAAAACATAAGTAGTTCATTATTTATGGATTCCTTCTATCTAGTATTATGATTCAGATACTGATACATTCTTTTCTAATCTAAACTTTAGTAGGTAATAAATTAAAAGCATTTACTGTAAAAGAATGAATTTGCTTATAAATAAATCTGTTACGTTTACTTAGGAATTTAAACACATTAAGACTTATGATACCTAGTGAACTAATTCTAATATTTGTAGGAAACTAATGTTTATCATTTATTATACTCATTAAAATAATCAATCGAATAGGAGCGTTTTTTTTATAAAAAAAAACTGGCATCATATTTTCCAAAAATATTTTGTTCAAATAGGGTTGTTTGTTTGAAATGTTGTTGTCAGTTCAAGTTGTTTACCTATTATCCTGCTTATTTTTTTAAGTAAAGAAAGTCTATAAACAGTCATATGTATACACAAGTAAAAAATATTAATAATAAACAATCATCATTTTAAACAAAATTAAATACAATTCAAATAGCATCATTATAAAACTACAAAGAAAAAGACAAACAGCAAAACAAATAAAAAGAAAGAAGTCCTTAGCCAAGATACAAATGTATGTGCAGTACTTTCATAACTTCAGGAATTCTTCAGATGTTATTCTATGTAGAACGCTAACATAAGTGTTAGGATGTGCAGAAAAATATACCAATAGTTATCATGTTAAGTCTAATGTTGTCCTTGGACACTAAATGTACATTCCCTATTGGTCGATATTTACTTCACTTGTTTAATATTGTGTAAATGTTGTTTTCTATTTTTATGTTACGATGTGGTCTGCTTGGTTAGTATATAAACAGTGTGTGTTTGAAATATAATGATTCATATTTCAGAGGCTGTGACTTTCGTTCTGGACTCAACTGGCTGGGCTAGACAGGGAAGCAGGCCAATCAGGACACTAGGTCGTTCGTACGTGTTTACGTGTCACTGAATCAATCGATCGACATAAAACGCTGCTTATTAAAACCTGCAGTCACCCATTACAACAATAAGATTAAAAGAATCTGTCTGGATGATTATCTTGTCAAATTTAGAGTAAACTGAAGCTGGTGAAATGAACTATTTTATCTGAAGTAAAAGCGCTTACCGTCATTTCAGAACTTGCTACTACGAAATAACAACCTAAAACAAAACAGTTTTCTGGTGCTTTCTAGTGTTTGTTTTTCTTCATTTTTATGATGAGGAAACTGTTTCATCAGATAATGTGTAAAGATATTTGTCTATACCAACCAGTGCTAGACAAAGAACTACTTAATATTCACAGTACATTGAATAACCCTATTTTTCTTCAACAGTGTATTCTCTATCTTTAATGAGTATAAGCTGAAATCATTTTTAATGTAATAGATATGTTAATACAATACTAGTGAGTCGTTTTCTAAAATAATCTCATCTTCGCATTAGGAATTTCGAAGATTCATTATATCAACATAGTAACTTGTGAATCCCTGATAAAGAAAAATGACATTTGTCCAGTATTACTACACTTTTAATCATTGATTATATAATATTAACTAATGATAAATAGATACATTCTACTAATCTACATTTAATAAACTAAAAATCAAACTCATACAACATCAAACTACAATCACTATAGTTAAGCTAAAACTGTTTACCTCTGAATCTGTTTCAGAAGATGACTAAATCAAGTTGAATGAAAAATATTTTAATTATCTTTCTGAAATTAGCGTTAGTTCGAATTTTCTGATTAAGATCATGAATTCGTTTTTTTAAATCAAACTAATATTTCTTTAAAAAAAAACATAAAAATATATTTCAGTAGTTGAGATCATGAGTTAATTGGAGCTAGACCATCATGAAAAACCTAGCAGCACTAGACGGTCGTTTCTTCTCATCTCTGGGACTCCTCAGCAGTGCATATCTACGATCCCATCTCGTGAGATTCGAATCCAAGACCCACAATAGGATGAAACGACCGTCTAGTGCTTCAAGGTTTTCCATGGTAAGTCAAGCTTCAATTGACTCGTGATCTCAACTATATCTCAATGAAAGAACCCTTTCATAAAAATATATACATTGGATTTAGTGCATATTTTTCCCAATGTTTAAAAATTCATTTAACTCATGATATTATTCTTAAGATCAGATTCATTAAGTACCAGGTCAATATTTAGATTATTACTACTATTGAATTTGACCTTAACTACTCAAAGGTTATAATTCATGCATGAGTATATCATTCTTGTTTACATTTTGTTTTGTTCTAATTAGTAGTTGTATCCATATGAAACTTATTGAATGAGTACAAGTTTAAACTAAAATGTTACATGATTTATTTTACTAGAAAATTGAAACATTTCTAATCTGAGTAACTAAAATTACCGTATTATATTAGATTGTAATTTTATCATAAATATTGTCCAAATACAAAATCTTATTGATTATCTACTCAAAGTTCTCTTTCTCTCTTATTTATTCAATAATTGGCTTTCATATTGATAGAATCTTTAATTTATGAAGAACGAATTGAATTCTTCTTAAAGATAAGTGTTGATTACATTTAATAAACTCAAATGAATGTTAATTTTCCTTCATATTTTCATTATGAAATACAGGAACTTTCAATTTCACAATAAAGTATGCGAATATTATAGCTTACAATACTGAAGATACATATATATATACTTTCTTAGTTTATAAAAGAAATTTATTTATTTATTTATTTTAAGATATAGGTATTGGTACAAGGAAGCACCAAATATATATGCGCCACACAAATCTCATTTGATATGTGTGAGGGCTGTGATACTGCTCGGGTGCCCAAACCGAAGTAGGTGGTTTTCTTAGGGGGCCACTCCCCGAGCTTTCAACCTGAAGGTCTGATCCACAAGGCAGTAGAGCAATGTAAGGAAAAGCAGTTCCATGGTAGCCGGTGACCAACGATTGGTTCATACTCCATTTAATCCTTCAGGATACTGGAGCCCTTGTGTACCATTGGTTTGGAATCAGGGTTTTTCAACTCCCCCCCCTAGGTGGACTCTACATGTCCACCAACCCGGTTAAAGCGCCGGTCATTTGCTTTGTGTCCTCTTAATTCCGTAAACAACACCTCCGTCACGAGAAGATAATGAGTAGGACTTCCCTGGCAGAGGTTGTATACGCGTGGCCATGTGAGAGTATACTAAGAGTGAGAGCGGACTCTCCTCACTCTTGGCCACACCAAGGCATTTGGGGGCTAATATTAAGTTTAAACTTTTCTCTAAAATGACACTTGGAAAAGTATAAAACATTAGAATCTAATCCCTATATAGTTATTCTCTTGACATTAAATTAAACAGCAAAATATGTTAAATATGCTACTCATTTTCTACAATAATTTTCTTGATATTTGATTATTATATCAATAACAAGTAAATATATACATCGTTGTTGATAAAATGATTATTCATCGTATTCAATCATTGTTATACCATGAGATTTCATATGATCTGTCATTATTTGATTATTTAATCTTTATTTATATAAGCATATATTCTACTCTTAGAATAAATGATCATACATACTTACGCCTCTCACTCCTATTGGAGCATACGCCGCCGACCAGCATTCTCCAACCCACTTTGTCCTGAGCCTCCTTTTCTAGTTCTATCCAATTTTTATTCATTCTTTTCATGTCTGCCTCCATTTCTCGGAGTAATGTGTTCTTTGGTCTTCCTCTTCTCCTTTGACCTTGAGGATTCCATTCGAGGGCTTGCCTTGAGATACAGATGGGTGCTTTCCTCAGTGTGTGTCTCATCCACTTCCAGCACTTCTTCCTGATCTCTTCCTCTTCTAGGATATGGTTTGTTCTCTCCCACAGTTGGTTTTTACTAATAGTGTCCGGCCAACGGATCCGAAGTATTTTGCGTAGACAACTGTTAATAAACACCTGTATTTTCTGGATGATTGCTTTCGTAGTTCTCCAGGTTTCCGCCCCATACAGTAGAACTGTCTTGACATTTGTATTGAAAATTCTGACCTTGGTGTTGGTTGACAGTTGCTTTGAGTTCCAGACGTTCCTCAGTTGTAAATATGCTGCTCTTGCTTTGCCGATCCGGGCCTTCACATCTGCATCAGATCCATCCTGTTCATCAACGATACTTCCCAGATATGTAAAGGTTTTTACATCTTCCAAATCTTTTCCGTCAATTGTGATTGGATTGGTGCATTCTGTGTTGTATCGGAGAACCTTACTCTTCCCTTTGTGTATATTGAGACCTATTGCTTCTGAGGTTACCTGGAGTCCCTCCGGGGGCTACTACCAGTCCCAAGCCCGGATAAAGGAGGAGGGTTGGGCATGGGGTTAGCGTCCCCATCCCGTAGAAAACTAACTCGCTAAAAAAACGCTAATCGCAAATGATCTTACATTTGAATAAATTGACTTTTATAGATAACAAATGATTTCCTTATACATTTCATAATACACATAACATAATATAAAACAGTTTAATTAATTGAATATTTAAAAAAATTTTAACATTCAAGCAAAATATCGAGTCATACCTTTTCCCTTTTTTCTTTTTCAGTCTCCTGTAAAAGTAGACAATCAAAGAAATAAACTTATTACAATTCAATTCAATAAACGGTTACTACACTAATTTTGGCGCATATATATATATATATATATATATATATATATATATATATATATGAATAAGGATGTGCCAATAGCATTATATTATATTACGAAGCTAAATATTAACATCTATAAGCACATCAGTATCCACGCGCACACACACACACATCAGATTTGAACATGCTTTACGATTAATGTGAACATTTACGGAAAAATTATAAAGATATTTTGCATTTGTTATTTTTTTGATAAATAAAACAAATCAGATATACTAAATGGACATGCACTATGGTGATAAACGTGCTAATTATAATTCCTTTTTTAATGATACGAAGCATATATAGATAACTTTTTTATTGGATATATGGATAAAGCAATAAATTATATTGAATTGCTTGATAATATTTTCCTCTGAACTAATATTGTGTCTTTTTATTTTATTGTAATCAAGGTAATCTGATTTTCAATTAAGTTTTAAATAAAATTAGTTAAGTAAGAAGTAATTCCTCTATCAGCTAACTTATTCTGGAATATTCATTGTGATTAGTAGGAATTCAGTGCTTTCATCATTAAGTCATAGTTTGAAATAATAGAATTGCCGATTATTGATGTCAGAAGGGGTTGGTGGAGATTTTAGAAATTTTCACAGATTTAAATCATGAGTCAGTTGAAGCTAGACCACCATTGAAAACCTGGAAGCACTGGACGGCCGTTTCGTCCTAGTATGGGACTCCTCAGCAGTGCGCATCCACGATCCCGCACCACGCAGGGCTCGAATCCAGGACTTACTGGCTTCGCGCGCGAGCACTTAACCATTAGACCACTGAGCCGGCATCCAACGGTGTTGATGTCATGAGTTTTTGTTTTTACACTATAAGTTTTTGATCACTAAGAATTAGAATATGAAAAAATTATAATAAACAATAAATACAAATTCACTTTATGTTGTTTTATTTGTATAATAATGGGAAGGTATAAGTAAAATAAAACCAAGCGAATTTAAACTTCACCCCATTGAACAAGCAGGTGACTATCAAGATTTAGTAGCTAAGTGGATAACTCGATAGCGTTTAAAGCGAGCAATACTGTGTTTGAGTCTCCAATTAAACATCAACTCTAAGATGCAGGTACATCCAGCTGACGAGTCCCAAATAAGACGAAATGCGCATCGAACTGGATTCTACTGCCAGCCACTATCTTTGCTTAAAAACAATAATTACAATTTTAAATATCTTTGAAATGTAAATACCTTCATTGAATATGTTCCATGCTTGGTTGTGTTCATAAATTACATCAGACAAATACTTTTAATCAATAATTAGTTTGATGGATAATGGCTAGCAGTGGAATCCAGGACGTGCGTTTCGTCCTATTTGGGACTCGTCAGCTGGATGCGCCTGCATCTCAGAGTTGATATTCACTTTGGGACTCGAACCCAGTACCATTCACTTCAAACGCCATTGCGTTATCCACTCAGCTACTGAGTCCTGATAGCCATTTGCTTGTGAAATGGGGTGAATTTAAATTCACTTGATATTGTTCGGCTTGTATCTTCCCATTAAGGTCTAAGACTGTAATTGATTAGTTATTAGTCATAACTCTGTATGATCATAACAGAAAATTATAAGTTTGCTATTATGTTATAAGGCTTTACTATTAAACAAAGGACAAATAACAGTTTAAATAAAAGTGTCTACATAAATTAAAAAGAAAACCACTTAAAATAACATGCAATTACATTAACTAAAATAAATTAATTAGAAACATCTATAGTCACATCTAGATAATTATGATTAATATATCTCTCAATTCCAAGATAGTGCACTAAATAATCTAATACAATTTACTTCGTATAGGATATATAGAGTAATAATGACAACAACAACAACAACAACAAAAAATACATCTATGCATTATAGTATATGCATGAATGTGTGTGTATATATATGTATGTTTGTTTTTTTCAATTTTGATGCGTTTTTATATTATCAAACGTCGAAGTGCCCACCTCTTCAGACTCTTCCTCAGACTATGATAGTCATATTGTGTTGAATTATATCAGATCATTATGAAATCACATGGAATCATACAATAAAATAAGGATAAATAAAAGTGATCATTAAAAAGCAAAGAAAAAATTATTTGTAAAATTAGACTTGAAATAAATCAATTAATTTTATTATTTCAGTGGGATATGCAGAATAGGTAACTTTGATATTGATTATTCGGTACATTTACATTATCGTACAGTACTGTCTCGTGAATTAGTTAATTTCTTACGATAACTTGTGACTTAAATGTTATTGTGACTAGACCATGAGTTTTCAGTTTTTATTTGATGAAACGCTTTTTGTACTACTTAAATAATTACACGTAGTATAAATAATGTAAGTGAAATTTCAGTGAATGTTATAAAGCATGGTCAATAAGTTGATAAATCTAGTTAATTGACAACTGATTAAATTCAGATTTCTATCTGTCAATGTAATAAGCTTAAATAAAATCAACTATTCGCTCTGTATCAGAATGCCTATACATATTTTTTAATACGAGACATGAAATAAGGAAAGCAATATGTAACTTACTTCTTCCGATGAACTGAAAGAATAATATACAGAATTCATATTCAACAAGTTATTGCTTATTCATAAAACAACTAAACATATTCATATAAACAAACGTTATTTTTCTGTTTTCGAACCCATGTGTTTATGTAATCTTTATTCGCTACATTATGTGTCATATTTTATATTCTTTTTGTCTTTCATCATGAATGAATAAACAAATTAAGAAATAATTAGATTTACTACTTTAAATCTTTTCAATCGAGATGGATTGAACGTTATATTGCTCTTACCTGAAACTCTTCAAGAATGATTACCTGCAACCTTACATGATGTCAAAGCTTTGACATTCAAGTCTCGTGTGTGTTTAATTACATTACGAGCATTAAGATATGATGCAATGGATCATATATTCAAACTCAGTCAATTTATGATATATCAACATCCCTATTTAGTTAACTTTAGTATTTTAGTCAATAATGAACAAATTACTATTATTAATTTCGACATGGTAGAATAATTCATGGAATAAGCTTGGCTGTATTCATGTTATGTTGAATATCAACTGAAATTGAAAATGTTGATTATTATCTTTCAACTTGGCATCTTAATGATATTTTTTTGGTATATAACCTGAATAAAAAGGCTTGACTGTAATAATTACAAAAGCGACACATAGCTGACAAGCTTTCCGATATGATGAAAGAGTTATGTAGTGTTTTACATTACAAATTCTCATGACAATATACATTTAATATGATAAGCGAATCAATGAAAAAGGTTATAGATATCATTTTTCAATAATCAAGAGCATAAGTGTAATAAATAGAATATTTAAGCAACTTTTCTTCGGTTTCAAGGAGAATTAATTGATTAAATTCCACAAGAAGTATCAGCTACCTCAAATTGACACTTTACTGATGGTTGATATCTCACACAAAATTTCTATCCAGAGGTTCTTATCAAATACCTCCAACCATCCAACTGCTATCATTTTTTTTGTAAGTAAAATGTCAATTTCTTAGTTCAAACTTTGTTTTACAGAGTTCAACTAAAGATAAACCATATCACATAAGTTTGTGTATTAACATAGATTTTTCGTTTAGCAACTTTCATGGGCATTTATTTCACTACTATATAAATATGTAAATAATAATGTTAAACTATTGTTTATGATTAGAATATAGTAAAAGGCATACATCATACTATACATATATCTACACTTCTATTTTGTACAGCAAAATCATAAATTCGAAAATTCTTTTTATATATACAGTATACAACCAAAAACTTGATAATCATAGACAATATGAAACTCACCTTTGTTGGCTTTCTTCGTCACTCATTTTGTTATAATGTTAGAATTGGGTGTAGTACGTGAAGAGAAGCTGTAATTAGGAAAACGGTAGTTATTATTATTATTATTATTATTATTATTATTATTAAAAATCCTTGAAGAATATGACAATATATTGTTTATAATTGGAAAAAGTTCTAGTTGTCTCACTAACCAAGTAAAGATAAAGTGAATTTGTGTTTGATTACTTACGAATTGTGTAAATAAGATTAAATATCAAATTGTTTGTATTAATTTCAATGATTATGTAGGCGTATTGGTTATCTACACATGGTTACATTTCAAGAAATTTATTGATCAATATTAAGGGCATCATAAGTAAACCAATCTAAATTCTTATCATAATTTTTCCATTACTTCCCTTCAACATCAATCTGACGTAAGGTATGTGTATGTTTATCTATATTTTCACTATTTAGCCTTCTAATCGATTTATCTCACATTTGTGTTGGGGAATAATAAAAAATTACTCTTCCTTTTTTAATAGTTTATCCAATAGAATACAAGTAACAAATATACAATTACTTCAATTCTCTATCCTTTAACCTTCTTTTCATTATGGGCACACTATATCATAATAATTTGGCTAAGGACAGAAAGTTAGGTATTTTTGTGTAGAATATATACAATTTGAAATGTAAACGTTTTATTCCCAAACTTTCTTTACTTATAAAGAAGGAAAAGAAAAAATCAATTTAATAGAATGTATTCGAAGATTAATTCTAAAAAATAAATGCGGATGAGATTTTTTTATTGTTTGACTGTGTTTGATTGCGTAAGACTAAAGCAAAATGTTTAAGTAATTTAATGCATGAATGTAATTGTGAAGAAGTCAGTTAAATTGAAGTTATCACAAATCACTTTAATCTTTACACATTCTTTCAGTTAATGTTAATGTATATCAGAAGGGTTTTTGTGGATATTATAGTGATTTCAATAGTTAAGATCATGAGTCAATTGAAGCTAGACCACAACTGGATGGCCGTTTCGTCTTATTGTGAGACTCTTCAACAGTGTGCATTCACGACCTCGCCTTGCGAGATTCGAACTCATGAGTCAATTAACTCATGATCTCAATCATTGAAATTAATGTTAATGTACTGAAAAGTAAAATGAAATGTGATTCAGTGTTTTTTTCTTGAAAAAAAAATTCATCTAACTTTCTTTAAATACAAATAGGCCATAGGTTATGTAATCAAATATTTTGTTTTGTAATCTAGTCCCAATGATTGCATCATAATAAACGTTTAATAGTTATACTTATAAGTGAAGTTATAATATCTACTTATAAGTAGAATATAATCATATTTCATGTTGTATTAATTTTCTTGATAAAAATTCAACATCAAACTCATCAATTTAAACATTTTAGGTTTATCCATTGAATCACTGATTGATTCTGTAATAGTTAAATTATTTGGACTGTTTCATAACATTAAGCAAGAGAATTTCTTTTTGCTAGGTATTTTTCAGGAAAATTTTTAGTAAATGAACTTTACTAGTCGACATCATGAGTCAATTGAAGCTAGACCACCATGGAAAACTTTCAAACACTGAAAAGTCGTTTCATCCTCGTAAGAGACTCCTTAGCAGTACGCATTCATGACCTCGCCTCGCGAGGTTCGAACCAAGGAGCTGTCAGTCTTGCGCAAGAGCGATTAACCACTAGACCACTGAGCTGGCTGGCATTCGACGGTGTTAATGTCTAACTTCAAGTAATCAAAGAAATTGAGCGTAACATCCACCATAGTCATCAATGAGTTACTATATCATAACTGACCCAGTTGAACTGTAATTAATTATAGTTTGTAAATGTTTTACTGTACTACTGTATTGTCACTTTTGACAAAATAAATATATCTATGTTCATTCATATAAAGTAGGTCAAATATTCTTGTCTTTTAGAAATTACAAGTTTTTTATAATTGTTCTACAAAGTATGCTGAGTATCAGTTTTATTAATAGGACTATTTTACAAGAGATTGATACAAGATTCACTTGGTATTGTTTGACTTGTAACTTCCCATTGAGTTTTTTTAAGACTGCAAATGATCAGTCTGTTATTCACATATGTGCATACTGTGCGTATGCCTCGATATTGCCGTAGTTCACAAGCTTTTTGTAAGCAATGATGGATAGTGGCTAGCAGTGGAATCCAGGACGCGCGTCTCGTCCTATTTGGGACTCGTCAGCTGGATGTACCTGCATCTCAGAGTTGATGTTCACTTTGGGACTCGAACCCAGTACCATTCGCTTCAAACGCCATCGCGTTATCCACTCAGCTACAGAGTCTTGATAGTCATTTGCTTGTGCAATGGGGTGAACTTAAATTCACTTGGTATTGTTTGGCTTGTATCCTCCCATTGAGATTTTTTAAAACTGCAATTGATCAGTCTGTTATTGGCATATGTGCATACTGTGCGTATGCCTCGATATAGCTTTAATTCACAAGCTTAATTCACAAACACGCGTCATGGATTCCAATGCTAGCTACTATCCATCACTGCTTACAAAAAGATTAACCCAAGAGTCTTGATAAATATTAGACAATGACATAAACCAAAGTAATTACTTGAACGTATAATGTTGAGTAGAGAATGAAATGTAATATGATTTAGTCTATTAAATTTCGTATCCTTACTTTTTTAAAATAGTTTAACTTTTTGCATTCCATAAAATTACTTAGATGTTTGGGGTTCAGAAAACTTATAGATTCCTAAGATGTAGTTTAATCCCTTCATCATAAATGAATTGGCCTAGGAAATATGAATTCGAATTCACTATCAGATGGTAAATTTAATGAAATTCCTGACTTTTTTTTGTAAATAGAGGAATAATTCTATTAATTTATGTACCCTGGAAAGATTAAACAAAAATCATTTAGAATTCGCTTAGTGACAACTTATTAAATTTAACATTAGTTTTATAATCCTGATCGGTACATCATAAATTTAACGTTTTTTTTAAATAGAGCTCGTAAGTGTTTTTGCTTCATCAGAACTATTGCTGTATGAAATGAATAAAGAGATCGAGTATATATTGTAAGTTGATAAAATGTTTTTGTGAAATGATTTATATTGTCTATACCATGATATTGAATAAATCTATTCACATAACCATCCTCCTTATCAGTATATTCTGAATACTTCTTATTCAGAAGGTATTTATGCACATGTAATGTAGCATACTTAGCTATTCTGTCGTACAAGTTTAATGACATGTCACCATAATATTCAATGAAGACTAAGATTATCAAATTTTTATACATACTATGTTAGAAAGCCTTATCTTCTTTATAAGAAACAAATAAAAAAAGCAAAAGAATCAACATGGCCAAACAAGGGTTAGATTCGATATACTTTTTTGATCAAATAATATATTATTTATTATATAATATACCCATGTGGGCCAGGGTACTTTTAAATTGGTTTTCAGGAGAACCAGACACCATCCAGACTTTCACGTAGAAACCTAAACAGTACAGCTCAACCCTTTTTAGCAGGGGAACCAGACACCGTACAGGCTTTAAAGTTAAAATCTGAATAGTACAGCTCAATCCTGTGGCGCAACCACACAGGTACCAAGCACCCTGGTGGACCAAAATAGTATATACTGATCTAAACTGTTTTAACCAAGTTTCTACCACTCATAAACCAGTATTAAAAAAATTAAATATCTTTCGTGATGCTTCTCCCTTTATTATTGAAAGAATATTAAAAACTAATCTTTTCAAAATTTTTTTGATTGAGATCATGAACTAATTGATGTTAGACCATCACAATTGAAAACCTGGAAGCACTGGACGGCCGTTTCGTCCTATTGTGGATGCGCACTGCTGAGGAGTCCCAAAATAGGACGAAACGGCCGTCCAGTGCTTCCAGGTTTTCAATTGTGATGGTCTAACATCAATTGGTTCATGATCTCAATCAAAAACTTAATAATCTCCACAACTCCTATACTACTTTTCAAAATTATTGGTATAGGGTTTCGGAGATGATTAAGTTTTTGCTTGAAATCATAAACCGATTAATGTTAGATCACCATTGAAAACGTGGAAGCACTGGATGGCCATTTCATTGTGAGATATTAACTCACTGACGACAATGGTGGACGGTGGCGCGACTTCGTGGATTGGTTGAAGTTAGACATTAACATCATTGGACGCCGGCTCAGTGGTCTAATGGTTAAGTGCTCGCGCGCGAAACCAGTAGGTCATGAGTTCGAGTCCCGCAGGGTGCGGGATCGGGGATGCGCACTGCTGAGGAGTCCCATATTAAGACGAAACGGCCGTCCAGTGCTTCTAGGTTTTCCATGGTGGTCTAGCTTCACTTAACTCATGTTTCAACCTGTGAAAAATATATATGTAAATATATGAGTTGATATTTTGATTGATTATGATCGTCATTTTGCTATTAGATCTCAACACTTATGAAAGTAAATTTTACGGAAAAAATTAATTTGTCAGATATTCTGAAGAAACTTTCCAGATGGTATTCTGTGCTGTTAGATTTTTCTATATGAATTTCAAAACTATTTACTAGACTAAACAGCTATAGTCCTTCTGTGTTTGAGTCTAGGATCATTTTTGGCCTCTTTTCTTTGTTAGAATCTCCTCAAAAACATTCTAATATATTTAACTAACTATACTATGTCTCTGTTCTCCTTAGGAGTTTATTGACTGAGACTCTGTATGGTGGTCTGTTAGAGCAAAATAAATAACTATCCATGTAGGCAAATGTTCGAACTACTTTAACATCGTTTAGAATAACAATCATGACGATAAATGCAAGTCCTTCACTGACAGGCTTGAATTTTCCTCTTTTCTCTTAATTCATGATTGAATAAAACCAAGAGAAGACTTAAAAAATTCATACGAATAAACCAATTATTTTAGATTTAGTCCCACTTTCACGACATTTTATATATTAACCTAAATTATGGATAAGTGGAACGCTTGTTGTATTATGATAAATTCTTTATGATACTAAT